TATTTCAAAATCAAATAATGTTTGATAGATTAAAAAAAAAAAAAAAGAGGAATGTTATTATTCAATAATTTTAGCACATTATTTATGCATATCATTATTAAATATCAGTTACAAATTCCAAAAGGAACGAAAAAGAGGAGGATGCGGGAAAAAATACATAAAAGACAATCAGTTAATGTTTGATACATTACAAAAAATAGAGGAATGTGATTATCCCTTGATTTTTGCACATATTATGATTTATAAATATTATATATTAAATATATTAAATGTACCAATGTGAATTTGACCACATTATGACCATATATATATGTCCAACCTTCATGCACAGTTTAACCTCATTGCAATTGCAATTATTCCGCAAACAAAAAAAAAAAAATTCTCATAATTTTCTCTAATCAACAATGACATCCATTTTTAACAATTTGACATTCTTGGCCAAAAACAAGAATAAGACTGCCAGGCTTTGACTGGTTAGAAACTACCCTCGATATTATCAGTCGAATGCAGCAAAATCAGCAGACATGATTTCATTTTTCATGATGTGAAGGTATATAAATTTTTTACTTCTCTATTATTCAATTAATTTGTACAAACAACATTTCTACTACTGACAATCTTCATTAATTTTCTTTTTTAGGGCCAGCGTATACACGACTGGGCACCCGGATGCTTATCCGAAAAGTTCAAAGAATTTAAACTTCTCGAAGACAATGTGTACGAGATCACAAATTTCGAACTTGTGGAGGACAAAAGTGCATTCAAGATAACAAAATCAAGTCACAAGTTCATTTTCTACAAAGAAACTAACATACGCGAGATAGTTGATGATGAGTATCCGAGGTTGATGTTTGAGTTCAAGCAATTCAGCGAGCTAACCGACCCTGAAACAATCGATCCTTCCACACCTTTTGGTACTTTTTATTTTTTATTTTTTAAATAATACAAATTCGGGCAATCTTATAGTATTTATTAATTTTTTTTTATTTGTAGACATGATTGGCCGTATTGTTGTGTTTCAAAACGTACATACAAGACAGTCAAATGGAAGTCCAAAGATGTGTATTGACATTGTTCTTGAAGATGTTGAGTAAGTTATACTTCATACAACTTTCGTTTTATTTTAATTTGAGTATACATATCTTTTAGAAATTAATTTTTTGTTTTATTATACAATTTATAGTGGCTGCCACCAAACATGCAGACTATGGGAAGGATATGTGGATATCCTTCTAACTGCCTACAAAAAGTCAGCTGCAATTGAATTATGTGTGCTCATAATACAACTTTGTCATGCAAAGTCATTTGATGATGGTATATATTATTTGGCTTAATTTATATTATCAATTGCTCCTATTGTTATTTTAGATTTATCTTACAATTATTAATATTGTCCCAAAACATTTTTTTTTTTGTATGGTCTGTTTTAGTTTCTAACATTTATGATGCTACAAAATTGATAGTCTTGAATGATGTTCCTGAGATTGTTGATTTCAAGCAAAAGTATATATCCTTAGTCTTCAATACCTATTTGTTATTATGTGATACTATATGTGATCAAATAAAAAATTAATTATATACTTCAGATTAAATTTGCTTTTATTAGATATAATTCCACACAAGGCCAAGGGAATCTTCAGTCCCTTATGTTAGGTCTTTCACTTCTAACTTATGTGATGACTTGCAATCCGGAATTGCTCCTATCATGAATGTTGCAGACTTTTACGCGTCCGAAGAGATATCAATTAGACATATCACAATTTTTGAATTATTACTCACTCATAATAAAATCAGCATTTTTTTTAATTATTATTCGCATATTGATTTGTTTTTAATGTCTTTTTTCAGCATAAAATTATTGGATTTGTGGCAACATTGTTGATATTTGGAGATATTAATTTTTCAATTCTTGCCTAAATTGCGTTTGAAAAGTTGAGCCCAAAGAATAGAGATTTTGGTGCAACCATTGCAAAGGCTCCATTTTCTTTGCAATTCTTAGGTAATTATCTTTTATAATTTTTAAAATTAATCATAAAAATTTTTAATATGTTTTTATTCATTTTCTTATCGATAGGTACAAGTTGCATATTTTGGTTGCGGACAACACCAGAATGGTTCGCCTTTTTTGTTGGGACAAAGTTGCTCGAGAGTTAGTTGGAAAACCATGTGATGTTGTTAGTGAAATGATAGAGGCATGTGTATTTTTTATATTGAGTATTACTCAAATGTTTATTCTTATATAATCAAAATTATAATTTAATTCGAAATTTATCATACAGGAAAATGATGGATCAAATCTACCTCTTGACCTTGAGCTTTTGACAAACAAAGTGTTCTTCAAGGTTTCAAAGAAAAAGGAACAATTTGGATCATACAATGGTCCTTTTACTGTTTCCCGAATAACAGTCGATCTTTTGGTCAACCAATTTGGTTCTTTAGCCAACATCTCCCAGGTTGGTCTGATTTTATTTAAAAAAATAAAATAAAAGTCCTACAAAGTATAATAAAAGTATTATTATTTTTATATTATATAATAATTAATATATTGTACTGATTCTCTTTCTCAATAGGATTCTGACCAACTCTCCACATTGATCAAAGAATATTATGAAATTGGTCAAGTAAAAATTATATTTTTAGATTCTTTATTTTCAGCAAAAAAATATATTATTTTCATTAAAAACTATATATTTTTATGTAGGATTCAAATGGTGAGGATGATGTACCAGGTTGCAAAGAAAAAACTGGAAAGAGGGTTCAAAAGAAATTATTTGAAGAAGGCCCGAGCTGTTCATGAAAAATAATTAGTAATTATTAGTAGTAATATTAATAAATTTTTACATACTTTCTCTTAATCTTTTCATTCGTCTTTTATTTTTTCTCTTCTTGCTTAAATATACAAAATGTTATTTCGTGTGACGCAATTGAATAATGTTACTAATAGTCATTTGGAGAGTCAAGTGCAGTCAACTCATTTTAAGACAAGTTTCAATTTATAGTTGTTATTTAATTTTCTAGATATCAAAACTAATAATTTTGTACTTTTGTCAATAAAAGTATATTAAATTTGAACTGAATAATAGATGCTCCAATTAATTTAAGATACATGTTGAAGTAAAGGATAAAAGAATAGAATTTTAACGTTTATTTTTGTTTTTAAGAAAGAAAATTTTTTTTCCATCCATTTCATTTGTTTTTCAGATCTTAAAATTTAGTTATAATAATATTGTAAACTTTAAAGCTTTTATTATATCTAGTAACATTATGCTTTTTTTAAGAATTTATTTAAAAAAAAAAAAAAATCAAAGAGAACATTTAGCACATTTCGCTCAGAGCCTTATGAGGTTGAGGATCGGCTCTGAAATCACCAACACACAATCACACATTTGTGTAGATGTATACTAATATGAGAATAATAATCTTTACGGCTCTACCCGGGTGAGATGAAAATT